ACTAGAAAGTCGCCAGTTCTCAGCTTCCAGCTCCACAGATACTCCGCGTACTAAAGTTGTACTACAAAGTCGCCAGTTCTCATCGTCCAGCTCGCCAGATACTCCGCGTACTAAAGTTGTACTACAAAGTCGCCAGTTCTCAGCTTCCAGCTCCCTAGATGCTGTGCCTGCCACGAAAAAGTTACATTAGTGGCAACTGAGGTTGGATTAATGCCATCTGGGGCTGAAAGCTCCACTACCAACCATGCCACAGGAACCAGCATGGCCACAGTCAAAGCTGCAAAGCAGCTCTCAATGTTTGCAAACATTGGCTGAAAACCTACCATGGCCACAGCCAAAAAAAACTAAGCAGCTGAACAATGTTTGCAAAAAAATCAAAAGTTGATCCGGTTTCTTTCTTATTTTTTAAGTTACTATAATTGGTGCCCAGTATGTTTCTCTGGAAATCGCCCGCTTCAGCAGGCTGCATCCTTGGAACACAGGCCTACTTTAACTTCATTGACTTTTGCTATGCCAACAATTGTTGGCTCCTCAATGCGGCGCGGGGTCAAACAGTCAAGCATGTCGTTATCAATGTTTTGATGTCCCATCTATTTTTTCGGGATGCTGGTGATCAGAGAGAGAGGGTGTTGGTGCTGGTGATCAATCAGCTAGCACTTGGAGATTGATCAGCTCAATCTACGAAGGAAGCAAGTCTTAGAGATCAAGCAAGAGATCAACCATCTTTTCAGGTGCTGGTCTTCGTTCACTGCGCACTATGCGATGCAGGACAGCATCATAAATGGGTTGGAGTTGAACACCATCAAAAACCTAAAATCTAGTGAGCAGTGGACAACTACCAGATGCCCAGCTACCAACGCAGGGCAGCCTCACAACACCTTTCCCATCGCAGCGAACTTCCGAGAGGCCACTTTTGGGCCAGCGCACTGCCAAACAAAACGTAAATAAAGGACTATGATGGAAGGATTGGTCCAGTGATCTGTTTGGGAAACTTGTGATGAACCTTGAGGTTTCCTGACAAAAAATGTTTAGTACTACTTTGCCATGCCAATGCTGTATGTAGCTGCCACTGCACAAGTTCTGCGTCACTCATTTGCAGGCTGCCTGTGCAAAGCAGCAGTTGGGAACCCAAGAAAAGGACTGTGCATGTCTCGAGATCTTACAAATGCAGACCTGTTCATTTACCGCAGTTAGTTTTCCAATCTATGCATGATCATGCAAGGTGCCAACTTTCCATACCACTTTCCATGGCCAACTCCACTTTCTATGATCTTCAACAGGCATGCAGCAAAAAACAACTTGCCAGATTTACTAGTTTGTGTGTGTGGCATTCGCTCTGTGCCATGCCGCTGTCATCAGCAGAGCTAGAGAAAATCCTGAACAGGAAGTCTTCCAGCAAACATCCGGCTGGAAACAGGATGCCAGTGGCTAGGAAACGTCCGGCTGCCGATGTTGTGGTTCTGTCTGACAGCGAGCCTCATGATGATGCTGCTTCTTCATTGTCTTGACCTCAGAGGGGCCAGCTGATCAAAGTCCATCCCAAGCACCTCACCCAACCCACCAACCCACCCACCAAATATCTCAACCTGACATCATTAGTCGCCTGTCTATTTTGAGCCTACGCAAGCTTCAGTGGTCTTTGCTTTTGAGGCCGCAATACCCCATGCCGAAAACTGTTGAGGAGTTATCGTCAAGACCTCAATTTCTGTGAACGGCTGTTATTTTACTGTGGCTTTGGGAATTTTTGCCAAGGTGTTGGGCTTTCGTGCTCCTGAAGCGTTGTGAACTTTTCTTCGGGACAGAGTTTGTGGTTGAGAAGCTTCGTGCGCTGGAATATCATTCAAGAATACAAGAAAACAAAGAAATTCAAGAAATAGAAAACACTCTTTGTGTGATTGTGTACAAGGTGTGTCTCAAAAATCCCTGCCAGCAAAGGTAATGTAAGTTGGACGTGCTATGACCTCTTTGGTGGAGCGCTTTGTCAACGCCGTAGTTGGCAAATGATTGAAGCTGCAGCAAAGCATTTGTGGGGTACAGAGTGCCAGCTGACCCATTCCTTCACAGTTACCTTTCTCAAAGTTTATCCACATGGAAACGCTTGCATGTGCTTTTTGGTTTGTTTGGTGACAAGCAATCACCGACCTGAGGTTGAGAAATCCCGAGGCTGCGTTCGATTGACCAAAGAGTGCTTCCCAAGCAGCTGTATCTTCAACAATATCCTCAAGTTGGTGCGGGATCCTCCTAAAACAAAAAATTGGAATCCAGCAAAGCTGACACTGAAGAAACACTACGAATGTGTTCAACACCAGACACCGTGCCTTATCTCATGTACTTATGAGATGCATCCAAATGTTTGCAACATAGCCTTCTTGTATCCAGGAATTTGACCGTACCTGACCTGAGTTCTGCTATTCAGGTGCCCGCTGAACTTGACTAGCAACAGCTGTGGCCTTGTTGGAGCACCGTGCATTCTTTTCTCAACGTGCCCCCGTGCAAGCTTTCCATCATTTACAAATATATAAGATGAGACGGTGTAAATTCCATTGCCCTTTTCCAGGTATGGAAAACGGCAAGGCTTTAAGAATGTTGAGCTGAAGAAAGTGCATGATGTTGCAACCGCTTTCATGCGGTCAACCCCGGTGAACATTCATGAGAATGTTCCTCACTACGAAGAGGCGGGGGAGGGGGAGAACACAAAAGGTAGGGACTGAATCGTTGTCAATTGCGACAGGACTACCTGAAGATGCACCTGCCCAAACACAAGATCCAGACGGTTCAGTGTG